ACCCCTTTTAAAATGGAGAAATTCTACTCTCACTTAAATTGCAAGCTTATACTGGAAAAGATCCATGAGGTTTCTGAAGAAATATGTGCTATAAGGAAAGGGATTACTACAGAACGAAGAGTCAACTCTACCCCAAACTTTCAAACTGACTTTCAGATTACATCTGTTTATTCTATAAACCAAAACATACCAGAAGAGGAATTAAGGGAAATTAAAGAGGAATTTGTTACAATGAAAGAGATTACCACAGAATTAAGAACCAGAGATTCTTCTTTAAATCTTAAAAGTGACTTTCAGATTACACCTGACTATTCTACAAACCAAATTACACTAAAAGATGACTTTATTGAGGATACAGAGGAACTTATTTCACCCTACAAGCATCTTATCTATATTTTTGAGGATCAGAAAAAGCAAAGATTGAGATTTGAACCTTTAATGCAGTGAGGCTTCAAGAATAAGAGAAATGGAGGTCCAATCCAGATGACAGGAAGCTTATTACTGCCTCAAATGGCATCACAAGCAACAAAGAGAGACCTATCGGCTGAAAGGAAGCGTTGTTGTGGAAACCTGCTTGGCAGAAAAAAAAGCCTAGAATAAGATTGAAAAGAGAAATTTAAAATTATATATATTGGATATAAGGCATTTTAGAACTATGGATTGATTTAAGGATTAAGTTTTTGAGCAGAAATAATGTTATAATGTTATAATGAGTAGAAATAATATATAATGTTTTACTAGAATTGGACTCAGAAACTGAATTAGTTAAAGATTGTATGATTAAATGGGCTCAAAATATAGGAGAAACAATACCTATGGACACTTGGGAGCTGATCTGGGTGAGAAATGTGAAGTTCACACAAGCTCAAAATTTACGTGAGAATTTTTATAAAATGTTTTATAGATGGCACCTGGATCCTTCAACTATGTCTCGTATTTATGTGAATTATGAATCCAAGTGTTGGAGGTGTGGACATCCAGATGCAACTTTTTTTCATACGTGGTGGACTTGTAAGGTTATTAAGGCCTTTTGGATACAATTGTGGTGGAACTTACAGCAAATTTTTAAAAAAAGGATTATCTTTCTCCCACAGTTGTTTCTTTTAGGTATTGTGCAAGGTTTAGACGCAAAAGAAACAAATTTGATGCTTTATTGTTTATCTGCTGCCCGACTGCTGATAGCCCAAAATTGGAAGAGCCCAATTCTGCCTACAATGGGAGACTGGAGAATGAAAGTTTCGCATCTTGCTGAAATGGCAAAGATTTCGGCTTATCTGAAGAATCATTCGAATGAACAATTTTTATCAATATGGAGAAGANAATTTAGGTTTTTAGATTTTCTAAGTTTGTTTACTCTTTCTATCTTTTAATGTAGATTAAGATATTTTGTGGAGTTAGAGATATTAGTATTTGTTTACTTTTATATGAATATTATCCTGGGATTAGGTTTGGGAAGTCCGGGGAGGGGGGTGGGGGGTTTTTGTTATTGTGTTTACTTATATTATGATTGTTTTTTATGCTGGAAAAAAAAATTTCTTTGGAAAAAAAAAGAAATAAGAAAAAATGGGTGATTATTGTATGAAAATTATTATATAATGGATTGAAGAAAAATGAAGAGATGTTCTAGATCGGGATTGAATTAATAATTAATTGAATGTGATTCTAGTAAGATGATGTGTTTTGTTTGATAATATGGATGATATTAGGTTTGATAATTAATTGGATGAAATCAGAACCTTGTCTAAGGGACTCAAATGATTTAAGGTTGATATTATTTTATTAAGCTTAAAAAATCGATCGATTGATGGATTAGATATGTAAAGGATAGATCAATATTTTATCTTAACTGGGAGATATTAGTGGAAGAAGGAATAAACAAGATTTATGATGAAATTAAAGAATTAGGATATATTTGGAAGGGATACTTGAACTGATAATGTGTGTATTTAAAGTTAAATTTGATTATGGTCTTGTAATTGCATAAAGCTCTAAAACAGGCTTAGGATTAATAGAAATTTGTTAGAAATAGACTATTTTAAATATATAAGCTATTTGAGGGAAATAGAGAGGGAATATTTGATGTACTGATTGAGTTATTTACATATGTTTTGTTTTTGGACTTTTGATTACCCCAGCACCACGGTGTGTCTAGAGCACTTTGTATTAAGAATTAAAAAACCAATAAAATTTGTTTTTTAAAAAAACACCTGCATAATTCCACAGTCTTGTCAGTTTTCTGCACTCACATCTATAGAAATTGAGAGTACGCAGCATCCTAGAAACCAGAATGGAACGACTCACTGCTGCTAGCTTGAGGCAGTCTTCTTGCCATCGCCAAGTTCCCTCTGCCAACTTGCTGCCACCATCTCATTACAGGACATCTCAAAACTGGAAATTCGCGGTGCAATTTGCTGTGGGCACTGGATGGAGAGCCGGGCAGGCGAGTGAGTGGGATGTCAGAGGGGCACTGCAATGGGCTGCTTTGCAAGTTTTTTTTAAAAAAAGTCACATTGCTTAATGTTTGAGGGTGCCTTGCTCTGAAAATAAGGCCAGCTTTGGGAAGCAATGGGGTGGGATGTCACCTTTTTTAAAAAAAAAAACTAAAAAGGCTTGTTTTGAATTGCATTCAAACCCTTGCCTATCATGCAGATTGTAAAGTTTGCAGCCACATTTAGTTGCGAGTCTGATGAACCACAGAAATGGGGCTGCATGAACAGGACTTTGGAGTCCAAACTGGGGGAAAAAAACTCTTCTTAGCATTACTCTTTGCACAGCATCTGTGTCGACTTTGGGGGAAACATTGCTGCGACACTCTGTCCAAACGCAATCTGCGTATGACCAGAAACATCATGAAAACACTCTACACATGACCAGAAACACCATGAAATCATCCACGCAGCTTTGGGGGGAAAGCACTCTGCACATAATCAGAAGTACCATGTCAGAGTTGCCATCCCGCTGCACCGGCCCTGCTTAGCTAGATACCAGGCTGTCATGAGAAACGGGGGAAGGAGTTGCGGGGTGGAAGGAAGGAGAGGAAGATAGAGGAAAATTAAAGTCTTTGTGCCAACCTGTCAGCCACAACCTGTCACCCTGCAACACCCTCAAGCCTGCACAGCTGGGGACTGTTACCAAAATAATTAGTTTGAACACTATTGGACTCTTACCAGTGTCCATGGAGGGACGGGATCCAAAAGGGAATGTTAACTATGTGCTTTGGGCAAGTAACATCAGATTCAGCTTTGCTACACTGTAATTACTTGGCTTTAGTACAGTATACATTCGCTAGCCATGAGTCCGAGAATCTTTCTTTTCTAAATGACCAAGTTGGGACGGCTGACATACCGTGAAATCACCCACCAGCTTTGAGGGAAAAGCACTCTGCACATGACCAGAAAACACCATGAAATCATCCACCCAACTTTGGGGGGGGGGGGGAAACACCCTGCACATGACCAGAAATACCATGAAATCATCTATCTGGCGGTTGGGGGGGGGAAAGCACAATGCACATGACTAGAAACACTATGAAAGCACTCTGCACATGACCAGAAACACTGTCAGACCTGTCTTAGCTTCAACCTCTAACGATCCTTAACTACATTTATTGAGAAACATAGTTTACTAAAAGCCAAGTGAATTATAGTAATGCATAGCCAAAACTGAGAATTGTGCACCAAAATCTCCAAGTCTAACTTTTCCCTCCTTAGTCACCTCCTATTAACTGGGCCCCCATGTCCAACCAAATTCAAACAACATGTTTTCAGAACGGTCACTTCAGGCAAAGGTATGGTACGCAGCTGCCTTCTGTTCCCAGCCAGTTGAAGCCCATCTCAAAGCTCAAAGAGATACAGTGAAGTTTCGTTTCCCTTGAAGCATCTCACCTCCCATCTAACCCCCTTGAGTTCATGGCAGCTGATATTGAATGGTTGCGAAGTGCAAGCGTGAGGTGGTAGCTGACAAACACCATGAAATCATCCACCCTGTTTCGGGGAGAAAGCACTCCGCAAATAACCAGAAACACCATTAAATCATGCACCCTGCTTTGGGGAGAAAGCACTCTGCACATGACCAGAAACACTTGTTTGTACAGAACATCATAGAAATGTACCCCCCAAAGCCGGCTGGATGATTTCATGATGTTTCTGGCCATGTGCAGAGTGCTTTCCTGGTGTTTCTGGTAGGTACAGAGTGCTTTCCTGGTGCTTCTGGTCAAGTGCAGAGTGCATTTGGATGGAGAATCGTAGCAATGTTCCTCCCAAAGCCGACACCAACGCTGTGCAAAAAGTAATGCTGAGAAGGGGTGTTTTCCAGTTTGGACTCCAGAGTTTCCTGTCCATGCAGTCCCATTTCTGTGGTTCATCAGACCCGCAGCTAAATGCTGCTGCAAACTTTGCAATCTGCTTGATGGGCAAGGGTTTGAATGCAACTCAAAACAAGCCTTTCTAGTTTTTTGTTTTTTTAAAAAAAGGTGACATCCTACCCCATTGCTTCTCAAAGCTGGCCTTATTTTCAGAGCAAAGTACTCTCAAACATTAAGGAAGTTTTTTTTAAAAAAAAACAAACTTGCAGAACGGTAGCATGAGTTTCCCATTTTGACAACCCACCCCCATGTTGTTGTTGCCTCTGTGCCATTGCCTCCCCCTCCACTCTCCACTCCACAAAATGGGAAGCCCCACCCGCCGTCACAGCCGAACTGCTCATCTGGTGTTCAGGCCAGAACCAACACACTGCCACTGCCCTCTGACAAACCCACTTGCTTCTCATATCGGCGCTGCCCTGCCCATCACCGTCCCCCTCTTGACAGTCTACTTGCTCGCTCACCCGCCTGGCTCTCCATCCAGAGCCCACAGCAAGTTGTCCTCGCAGCTAATTTCCAGTATTGAGATGTCCAGCAACAAGACAGTGGCAATAAGTTGGCAGAGGGGACTTGGCAGTGGCAAGAAGGCCTCCCATAGCTGGCCGTGCTGAGTTAGCGGTGTCAAGTCATCCTAGACCCCCTAGAAACTGGGCAAGCTGATAGTTACCCTGTGTCGCACAAAAGTATCAAATTCCATGATGCTGAATCCAAGAGAGCCATCTCCATATAAGATCCACACCTGTTAACAATTAAAAAAAACATGGAAGGATTAGCAGCTAAAGATGCTGTAAAACAGAACCTAGCCTCTTATTTGCTGTTCCATGACTAAGCTTCCCCACTTAGCTTCCCTCTACAACAGGGGTGTCAAACTCGTGACGTGACGTGTCGCGACGTATCGTGACTTTTTCCCCATTGCCGGAACTGGGGTGGGTGCGGTTTCGGCATGACGCATCCAGCCCACGGGCCGGCAGTTTGACACCCCTGCTCTACAATATACTAACCTCTGAGTCAGGCCTGCAGAGCTTGGCTCCTAAGGCAAATCCACCCCCAACTCCCAAAGTTCCAAAAGCCCCTGTAATGAGATGAAACAGACATCATGATTAAAGAAACTGCACAGGTTTGTACTGATTCCTGAATAGTAATTCCCTGGATTTCTAAAAGGGTGCATTTAATCTGTTTATGATGGTTTACTACATCTGTTTTTCAGCTTTGTTAATATCTGTCATGATTGGTATGTACACAGAACACAGAAAGGTAGGATACATATAGATTAAAACAAATCAACAAACTAATTCATGTCTCTATAGTAGGACCAGATGCATACTGGAGTATATTTATTGTATTAAAAGCCTAGCTGTTTTACTCATAGTTTAATCAAGCCATAAATTAATTAATTACTAATTAAGAAAATACACTTCCTGAACTGATAAAAATATGATGAAAGATATGAAGGGAGAAAAATGCTAGAATTGTAGAATTGTTTTAAAAAGTTTATTTTATACTGCTCACATTATTCAGACTAAGAATAATTTGCAGACTGATTATTTATTGACATTTTAGTGTAACGTTTCTGCTCTCTTTTGTGTGGTCTATTTCTTTGATCCCTGTAGTAATAAGGGAAGACAAAGAGCCCAAACTTCATCTGATACTACCTGGGGGATAAACACTGCTGTGGATTGGGATGTTTTACTGAGAGAATTGGATGCACATTTGGAAACCAAAAATATATTTCTGGATATTTTCTAGGATGGAGCAGTTCTCCTGTTTCAAAGGCAGCTGAGTACAAAGTGGAAGGTTGTGTTGTGAAGTATCACCCCATCCTACACTCATGAAAAACAATTAAGTCTAGACTTCTGCTTTAGCTCATACCTGGATCTAGCCAAGATAGTGGTCCCCTTGGCTTTATAATATAGGCAGCACTTGCTACAAAATCACCTCCATCTGCAACTAGTACACTGTCTTCAGGAAGCAAGTAATCTACATGATGCAAGAGCTTCAGTGGGTTAAGATGCTGCTCTGTCCGTTCTTCTGCCTTCTCTCTGGAGATGACAAACCGATTTGAGACATACCAGTAGATAGCCATAATTTCTATATAGCAAAGTATTATTCAAGGGTAGAACAAATAAGAAGTATCTGCAAGCCTTACACTACGTATGGATGGACACATACAAAGAGTACCATTTATTATTACCTGTTTGTTTTCTCCTTCTTCTGATCAGCCTCCTTCAAACTCATTACCCAATCCTGAGGACATGAGTAGCCTTTCAGCTTTTGGTTTAAGTACACAAGGAACAATGCAGCATCCCCTGTGTAAAACATAATTGAAGGAGGTATGCACCTTCTTCCAATGATCCTCTTCCTCTGATCACCAGTATTAACAAGGCATGCCCTTAAGCACCATCTTTTTATTATCCTCTTTTCTCACCATGCCAAATCCCTAGGAAATGTTCCTCACATCTCACTTATTGTTGCCTTGAACAAACTCCTCACCTTTTATGGCTATATTCGGTGTCCAGTGAAAATCTGCATTTTTAAACAGTTGCTCCCGATTTCTGTTAACAGCAATGATTTTGCTGTACTTGCTCAAGGCACGCCCATATAACAGGCGAAAATCACAGACTGTGCCTGAAAAGGAAAACAGAAGCTATAAACAGAAGACAATTGTTAGACAATCATTATATAATAACAGAAATATCTGCTAACCTCCCAATTCCCCAAAACTGGCCCAATGTTTTTCTGAACGTCCTCTTCAGTAGAAGACCAAAACTCTCAGTTGAGCTACCTGCCAGAATAACCAGATCTGCCTCCTTGAGAGTCTCACGCCGGTTTTGACGAATATGCAATGGACTGTTCTTTCCCAGCATGCCACGGGCCATGCCTCCCAGGAAACATGGAATCCCCAGTTCTTCTAAAGCTTCTCTGTAAGGAGGAAAAGTTCAGATATCTTTGCTATCTCTTCTCCTCACTTCTGTCTATTCATCTGAACACATACTTGTCATATCCTGTAGTTCCTCTTTCCAATTAATGGATTAACTCTACTGAGCAAGGATATTGTGCCTGAGGGTCAGTGGTAACCTAATGGTACATCAATGTTATAAAAGGAATCTCAGTCTAGGGCAAGCAGCACATCTTACCTAAGCTTGATTGCTGGAATTGGAGGGAGGGTCACTTGACTGCCAAGTAGTATGACTGGCTTCCTAGCCCTGCTGATCAGCTCCACACATTGCTGCACCTGTACAGAAGTATGTCCAGGAAAAGTTGTTCATAGCAAAAACCAATGCTTCAGAGCAGCAACCTAATCAGTATTAATTGTTTGTGGGGATGCAGTGATGCATAATGGGGGCAATGAAAGTGATTGTCAGAATCCAATTATGTTTCATTTCTAGCTACCTACTCTGAAAAAAAAACATTTCTTACTCTCTCTGGATTCTGTCATACTGCGAAAGGGGAGGAGGATAAACAAGGGGGTTTTATGGCTCTCACTTCCTTCATTAAACTACAAAGTGACTGGATGTTGATTCTCATCAAGAGGACTGATCATAACAATATGGCCATCGCCTTTCATCTAATCTCTCTGAAGTCTCCCTTTTGCCGGCAGTGAGAGAAAAGGGGGGGAACAAGGCAACGCCTGGGATCTGGGAAAAGAGAGGATGAGTGATCGTCGCCCGGAAGAACTGTGGGGTGGGGGCTGCTTGGGAACACTTAAAACATTGAAGGATGGGAGAGAATTCCCCAGATCCTGTCTAGAATGCCTGCAATCATTTTCTCTTAATAAAGATGCCTGTTGGAAGAGATATTCCAAGAGTTCTGTCTTCTTAAGATGTAAAGTGAGGTGGGTCCTTACATTAGACAGGATCTGCAAAATTAGTCCACCTGGAAGGAAGACCCTTGCCGGGCACTTTGCAAAAATTACCATGTCAAACGACGGAGCAGGGAAGGGAGAAAGCCCCCCGGGAGAGGGAGCCACTGCCCCGACTGAAAACCTGCCAGATGTTGGGATCTGAGAGGTCAGATTCCTCAGGAGAAGAGGTGGTGAAGACACGTAACCACAAACCTCGGTGGTCAATGGGCATTGGAAAGAAAGGCGAATGGGAAAAGAAATCAAGAAAGGTGACCCTGAGACGGGGGGCCAACCAACCAGAATGGAAGCAGGAAATGGGGAAATCCCTCTACGCAAGCGGAAGAGGAAGGAAGCTGGGCACCGCACTCGAGCTGGACCCTACAGAAAGCTATTGACTTGATGAAGAGAACCCTCAGCTCCCTAGGAGAGGAGAATTCTGAGCCCTACGGCCGCACCAGCTCCTGGAGCCGCAACTGGAGACACACCACGGGGGAAATGGAACCTGCAGCCCCGGGGACGTCCGCTGATCCAGTAATCCCCACTCCCTGCTGACCCACAGATGGCGATCTGGATGGAAGACACTACCACCGACAAAGAAGACACCGATCCATTCAAAGACTCCCGCTGCTGGACGTGAGATTCAAGGGGGAGCTGACACGCTTGGGGTTTTTCGTAACCCAAGTCCTCAGCTACATGGAGGAATATGGGCGACACATCCCTAGCGACACATCCCTAGTGACAAAGCCCGTATCTGGATCATGCAATCTGCTCTGGATGGGCCGGCCGCAGATTGGGTGGTGAATTTGCATGACTCCAATGCCCCAGAGCTCAACGACTTCAACAGTTTCATGTCCTCTCTGAGAAGGCGATTTGAGGACCCCCTGGCTGATCGCAAAGCCCGCGAAAAGATAAAAATGATGAGGCAAGGCAAACGCCCGGTAGCCAAATATACGCAAGAATTCCGGGCCATTGCCAGCAAACTGAACTGGCCAGAAGACATCCTCCTTAGCCATTTCAAAGACGGACTAAACTACAACCTATATGACGCTTGCCTGCCCCGAGGGGACCCACACAACTTGATGAATGGTACGTCCTGGCAGAGGAAGCAAAGATCGACCTACTGAAGAGGCACCGCTGAGGAAAACAATGGAGCTGCTCACCACCTGGGTCGACACATGAACCAGTGAAACTATCGGCTACAGCCAAGAAGCAAATGGGGTGTTTCAAGTGCAGGAGAGAGGGGCATTGAGCTGTAGAATGCTGATCGAAAGCCCCACAGCACAACCCAGACAGATCACCGGCCAGCAAATCCAGGAAGTCTCCAGCTAAGCCAAAAGAACCTGCCATGAGAGTGATGGAGGCTGTGGAATCCCCTACCTCTGCTCATCAGGGGGAAAGAACTCCAGCCTACACCGCAGGGCCGGTGGATGCCTCAGACGACAGCTCGGAGGGCAAACCCCTGGTAAGTGGACCCATAGCACCCATCCTCAAGACAGTGACTATATTAATTCCCCCCATGCCTGAAGCTGTGAAGGTGAAAGCCTTAATAGACTCTGGCTGCACCCGCTGCCTCATTAGCCCGATGCTAGTGGGAAACCTGGGCATTCCGTCGAGGAGACTGGAACAACCAATCTCATTTGGCCAGTTAGATGGGTCCATAGCAGGGGGGGTGCCAGCTACCCTAGCCACTTTACCAATCCACCTCTCCCTGGGCAAACATGAGGAAGATGTAACGTTTGTAGTGACTCCAGGCATGGAATGCCCGATGATCCTAGGGATGGAATGGTTAAAGAAATGGAACCCCTGGATAAATTGGAGGATGGCAGAATTCAATTTCCCGAAAGGGGATCCTATGGACTTAAAACCCCAAGGGGATCTACCAAAATTAAGAACGGAAAAAGCATCCATGGGAGAGGAAAAGGGGCTACCAGAAATACCAGAGGAATACAGAGATCTTGCTGAAGTTTTCAGTGAGGAGAGGGCGGATAAGCTCCCCCCCCCACCGACCCACGGACTGTGCCATTGAATTCAAGCCCGGAGCAAAACTCCCAAAGCCCAGATTATACTCCATGAGTCCAAAGGAGAAGGAGGAAATGGAAAGATTCATAAAGAAAAACCTAGAAAGGGGGTTCATTGAACCTGCCAAGCCTAAACTGGCCACTCCAGTCCTCTTTAGAGAGAAGAAGGACGGCTCTTTACGCTTATGCGTGGATTATAGGCTCCTAAATACAATCAGTGAAAGCAACCTATACCCCCTACCTCTCATGAAGGACATGTTATCACACCTCTCGAAAGGAATTTTTTTTTACTAAACTAGATCTAAGGGAAGCGTACTATCGCGTGAAAATTAAGGAAGGGGATGAATGGAAGACCACATTTAACTGCCCAATGGGGTGCTACCAATTCAAAGTCTTGCCATTTGGATTACAAGGGGCCCCCGCAGTATTTATGCAATTAATCAGTGACGTGCTAAGGGAGCACCTATTTAAGGGAGTCCTTATCTTCATCGAATCAAAAGAGGAACATGTCAACCTAGTCAGAGCGGTTTTAAAGAAACTGCGAGCCGCCCACCTATATGCCAAACTCTCGAAATGTGAATTCCACCAGGAAAGGATAGACTACCTAGGTTATCGCATATCCCAACAGGGCACTGAAATGTACCCAGAAAAGGTCAGAGCAGCATTAGAATGGGCACCACCTCACACAAGAAAGCAACTGCAAAGTTTCCTGGGCTTCGCAAACTTTTACCGCCAATTCATCCCCTCATTTGCCCTGCCCCTCACAAACTTACTAAAAATGAAGGGAGCATCCTCAGTAAAACCTAGCCAGCCACTAAAATGGACAATGGAATGCCAAGCAGCGTTTGAGAGATTAAAGAGACTCTTTTCTGCCGAACCAGTACTGAGGCACCCAGACATGGATAAGCCCTTCGTAATACAGGCGGATGCAAGTGATGTGGCAGTGGGAGCTGTACTATTACAAGAAAACGATGAAGGGGTATTTCAACCCTGTGCGTATACATCCAAGAAATTCACTGAAATGGAACAGCGCTGGCCTGTGTGGGAGAAAGAAGCATACGGGATACGTTGATCATTACTCACGTGGCGCCAGTTCCTTGAAGGCATTAAAATCCCTTTCCAGATGTGGACAGACCACAAAAATTTGGAAGCCTTGAAAACACCCAGGAAGCTCAACCCCAAGCAAACCCGCTGGTCCCAGCATTTTCACCAATTCCATTTTACGCTCAAGCATTTGCCGGGGGGAAAGAACTTCCTAGCAGATGCACTATCTCGCATGCCCCAATATAACAGCACGCAAGCCACCGACTCTAAACCGATGATGGTAGAATCACAACTGGCAGCGCCAGTAACCACCAGAGCCCAAGCTAAATTAAAACCACAGCTGGGTAGCCAAACCGGAATTGAATTCCGGAAAAGTTTGGAAACAGATAAATGGATCCAGAAAAATAAACACGTGTGCACAATGAATGACGGGCTGCCTTTGGTGGGGGAAAAGTTATATATACCAACAACCCAAAGAGTCACAGTCATGCAGCTTTACCACGACACAAAATCAGCAGGGCATTTTGGATTTGTAAAAACATTACATTTAATTAAATGGCAATTTTGGTGGCCATCCATGAAAAAGGACATAGAAAGTTACGTGGCCAGCTGCCCAAAGTGTGCAACTTCCAAGAGGTTGCAAGGGAAATCGTCCGAACTGTTACAAACAGTGGCAAATCCCTCAGCCCCCTGGAGGGAAATAGCCATGGATTTATTTTTTAAAAAATATATTTTATTGGTTTTTAAATTTTAACAAAAAGTGCTTAAGACGCCTCATGGTGCTTGGGTAAGCAAACATTTCAAAGTAAAAAACATACATAAACAGCTCAACTTAGTACATTCACTGTCATCTCTCTATTTCCCTCAAATAAGATAATGGATTTGAGATATTCCATTTCTAGCTTAAATTTCTATATGACTAAACCTGTTTTAAAACTTTATCAGTTTACAATTACCATAATCAAATATTGTTTTACTTCAACAGATTATCACTTCAAATATCTCTTCCAGATATGTTCAAGCTCTTAATCTCTCTCATCCCTCTGTTTATCACCAGTCTCATTTATTTCATTTTCCAATAATAACTAACTAATCACCTAATTAATTTAAGCACTTCAGAGTTCCAGTCTAAAAATTCAATATTTTTTCAATTTCAATACATAATTTCCCTCAAAATCAATCTTATTCCAAAAAATACATTCTTAATCTCTTTAAACATATATGTATATATGCATAATTATAATATAATTATAATATAATATATGCATAATTTACTCCTAGAAGCACGAAGCTGAAAACACCAGCCTGAAGATGACGAATGGGACTTCG